CGGGGCCTCGCTCCCCAGCGAGTTCAGCCAGAGGAGGGGCTGTGCCCGCCCAGCTCGCTGCGCCGGGTACCGATCATGCACAACCAGGGCTGCTGTCTGGCCCCAGCTTAGAGGGCAACCGCAGGGATCTGCTGTGAGCGGAGCGGCTGCAAAGCCCCGGCGGCCAGCCAGGGACTAGCGAATGCAGCCCCATCACCGGCCCGGCTGGTCCGGCGGAATCCAGGCCAGGCTGGCGGGAGGGTGCACCAGGCAGCACAGGCCAGGCCAGGCCGTCTGGGGCCTAGAGCGCCAGGGAGAACCAAGGGGGTTAGGGTGTCTCCAGCAGCGCCCCTGTGCGTTCACCACAGCCGGCTCACTGGCACCCTCCTGGGGTGAAGGGAACCTCCCCCCCCCACGCAGCGAGCGCCCCGACACGGGGGCCCAGCCAGCTCCGCGCCTGGCCTTGGCCACGGGCCCCACTTGGCTGCCACGAGCACCCATGAATGGCAACGTCCCGACTGGTGCGGAAACACGAGTGCGGGGGAGGGATGCGTGTGAAGCTCTCACACGGACTCGCCCGTTTCCCACACGGGGACACTAGGCGGTGCTAGCTGCTCGCTGAAGCACGGCGCTCGAGCGGCAGTGAGACGACCCCTTTTCAGGGAGCCACTCCAGTGCGGCGACGCTCTCTTGGGGGGCCCACTCTCCCCTGGGGGGTCTGCCCCTCTGCTTCCAGCCAGCACCTCACAGGGCCTTCAGCCACCTGCCTCCGCTGTGAGTCCCCTCTGGACCCCCGGGGCCTCCCCTCCCAGAGGGAATAGTGCAGCCCTGTTCTCTAGACCACAGCAACTCTCAGCCAGCACAAAACAGGAGGGTTTATTGAGCTTTGAACGCAGCAATGGATCCCTCAGGCCAGTGGCCTGGGCCCTGAGCCCACACGTCCCGCTGAGTCCTGCCTGCTCTGCTCTCAGTCCCCCAAAAACCAGCCCCAGTCTCCCAGCAGAGCCTCCAATAACCCCAGCAACAGCCCCTCCCTGGCCATTGTCTTCTCCCCAGGTAAGGGGGTCGCCTGGGCCCCTCTCTTCTCCGCTTCCCTCCCCGTCCAATGTTCTCCCCTCCTGGGACCAGCTGGGCCGGTCGCTGGGGTCTCCCCTCTGCCGCCCAGTGTCTGTTGTCTGGCCAGAACCCCGTGTTCTCTGAGCAGGGCCGGGGTCACCAGGGTACCCGTCACCGGGGCTCCAGTACTGGGCCGTTCTCTGAAACAACAAACTCCCCACCCGTGTCACATTAAACCAGTAACATCCGGGCACAGTGCCCCCCGGTTTGCCACCCCCCTTGAGTCCCCCAAACTCCTCACTTCCTCACACCGGATTGACGGGCTGTGGGAGGCCCCCCTCTGAGCAGGGCCGGGGTCACCAGGGTACCCGTCACCGGGGCTCCAGTACTGGGCCGTTCTCTGAAACAACAAACTCCCCACCCGTGTCACATTAAACCAGTAACATCCGGGCACAGTGCCCCCCGGTTTGCCACCCCCCTTGAGTCCCCCAAACTCCTCACTTCCTCACACCGGATTGACGGGCTGTGGGAGGCCCCCGTGCACACGCCCTGCTGGGGTGGGGCCGGATTTGCAGGAGGTCTCGGGGCCGGATGCGGTGGGGCCGGATGCGCCGGGGCCCCGAACCCATCGCGCAACCGGCCCGTCCACGCTAGGCGCCTGCGGGGCTTGGGGGCCGCCGTGCAGTTCAGGGACCCCCCTAGGCCTGGGCCCGCGGCCCTGAACACGGGGCGTTAGATCCCGATGCTCCCTTGCGTCTCTGGGCCCCAGCCTGTTTGGAAAGTGGGCCCGCACGGCCCGGTGCTGGAAGGGGAGGTCGAGCGAGTTTGTGCAACAGGCTCCCGGCAGGGCGAGTGGGCACCAGGCCAGGCAGAGAGTCTAGAGAAGAGATCTTAAAGGAGCTGGGCAGCCATGCAGGGTGGCCCCAGCCAGCTGGAGAGAGCCACTGGGCCAGTGTAGCTAGTGTTACACTGTGGGTGGGGGGTAAACAGAACCTTTACTCCCCCCCAGTCACTTTCCCTGGCAGCTGAGGCAGCCCATGGCCCAACCTCCCCCTCCTCCGGCACCCGCCGTCCAGTCCAGTGTAAACGTACCTCCCCTTCCCTCAGCCCACGACCGAGCCCTTCCCAGCACCCTGAAGGCCAATCACACCTCCCAGGATTTCCCTTCTCCAGGAGGAGCGTGAGGTTGTGGGCTAGGCTAGGGGGGCTTGGGAAGTCACTGGCCCGCTCCCTGCCTCGGTTTCCCCCATCGAACAGGGAGGACAAGCCTTCCCCTCGCTTTTGCAAAGCCCCTTGAGAGCCTCAGCTGCAAAGTGCTACAGGGGGCAAAGTGCTACTAGAAAGGAGCATGGTCCGTTCTCCCCTGTGTCCTCCACCCCCCTGTGCCGGCCCGGGGTAAGTCCGGCGCCCGTGGCTCGTAAGAATTCGCCGTCCCTTCCGAAGCACACGCGCCCCACCAGTTGTTAAACCAATGTCCATATCCGACGACATGCTTTGTTACAGCCTGCCCAGGCCTCCTCGGCCCCTAATTTACAGCCCGCGCGTTTGAGACGAGGCACCGTAATCAGTTATTAGAGCAAGCGGCTGCGTTTCATAACCCTTCCTTCTTCCACTTCTAGGAGTCTATGATTCACCCAACGGTTTTAACCCAGAAACTCCGGCCGGGATGTGATGTAGTGGGCAGGCCACACCCTCTGGGCATTCACTGGTGGCTGTGCGTGGGCTGGGGTGACCCCTACTGGCCGGTACCTGTAGCACTGCCCAGCCGGACGGCTGCCTTAAGTCACAAAAGACCCAACCTGTCGGACCGGTTGAGGGCAGGCAGGGAACAAAAGGAAGGGAGGTTTCGGGGGAAGGGGCAGTTGCTGCCTGGGAAGCATGAAGGGAGCAGCCTTAGCTGAGGGTCTAGTGACGACAATGGACCCCCTAACCCAAGGGGTCTGAGGCAGCCTGGCCCTGACTCCTGAAACCCCAGCACGTCTGTGCTATGCTGTATCCTGGAGGAGCAATAACCCCCCTCTGTTCTACTGGCGGGCAGAGGCTCATCTTGCTGCAGACGGGGTGCAGGGGCGGGGGGTCCCCGACATGCCACCACGCGGGGCGAGAACCCATCCCTCTGTTTGAAATACAGAGCCCCGGTTGGATGCAATGGAGAGCTGCTGGCTCCCCCCCCCAATCTGTGCCCCGGGACAGAGGCAGGGCGACGCAGCAGCCCATGGGATGAGATAAAACGTGTGGAAGAAACTCTCCCCGATGATCATCCGCAGCCAGGGACGGGGCCCCAGGGAGAGCTGCAGGGAGGAGCTGGGAAGAGCCCTGACGCTGGTTCCCAGCTCCATCCTGGCTCCGGCTGGATAGCTGCTGCAGCCCCCGGGCATGAAGGCAGCGTCCCTCTGGCCGGGGCACAAATGCAGAGGCGCTTTGGGCCCAGGGCTGGCACCGTAGCTCGGCGGGGCCACGGTCTTGGGTTTTCATGCCGGGGGAGGGGAAGCACCCCCCGCCCGGCCTCTCCTCTCTGCTGAGCTCCTCGTCCACACCACGAAGGACTGTCCCAACCAGCCACGGCCCAGCGGCCCTTGCAGCTCCAGCCACCGCCCCCAGGTAGGGGCCCTTCCCTTCCCCTGCGTTCCCTCTCCCCATGGAACCCCCCGAGCTCTCCGCCCTCTCCGCCCAGTCAGGAATTCAGCCAGGGAAGAGAAACACTCACCTGTATTCCAGGAGGCCCCGGGGATCCTGGGGGCCCTGGCATCCCGGTGGGGCCACGCATCCCTTCACTGCCCTGCAAACGTCATACGGAGAGTGAAACCGCTGCCCTCTGCCAGGCTACTGCACCGGTACAAAGCCCCGGGCGCCCCTAGCCACCCCACAGGGTACTCCAGAGACCGCTCTGGCTTCTCCACGGGCTTCTCCATGCACACCAGCCCCCGGATCCAAGGGGGGAAGGAAGCGGAGCAGCAAATCACGCATCCCTTCACTGCCCTGCAAACGTCATACGGAGAGTGAAACCGCTGCCCTCTGCCAGGCTACTGCACCGGTACAAAGCCCCGGGCGCCCCTAGCCACCCCACAGGGTACTCCAGAGACCGCTCTGGCTTCTCCACGGGCTTCTCCATGCACACCAGCCCCCGGATCCAAGGGGGGAAGGAAGCGGAGCAGCAAATCTCCTGGGAGTGGCCCCAGCAGCCAGGAGGAACACGGGCCTCTAGCCTGGAGTGTGCCCGCAAGGCTGCAGCTGTGCCCCCCGCTGTGCGCCCGGCGCGCTCCATGGCCTGCATTTTACCTGTGCACTAAAAGGCTGCAGCGTCTCCTTCCTCCCCTCCTACGGGGGAAGCAGCAGCGTCGCTGGGCAGGCCCCTCCCAAACCCCAGGGAGCTGGGGGTGTGCCCACCACCGGAGATGGGCCAGGAAGGGGGAGGTTTGTGTCCGGACAGACTTAGCCCCGTGGCCTGTTACAAAGCCAAGCACTGCTGGCCAGCGCTGCTTTGGCTTCTGCGGGGCGTGGTGGCCAGGGGGCCCAGCACACACAGGGGCAGGGCCCCCTCCCCCCGCCCGGCGGGTACCCCCCGCTCCTGCCCTACAGCCCCTCCGGTTCCACTCCCGAATCCTGCCCCACGGCCACTTCCTGCCCTTCCACCCACTGCTCAGCCAGTACACCCTGCTCCTGCCCCACAGCCTCTCTGATTCTGCTTCTGCCCCACAGCTCCTCCGATTCCACTCCCGAATCCTGCCCCACAGCCCCAGCATCTCCATGCACCGCATGGCCAGTACACCCTGCTTCTGCCCCACAACCTCTCTGATTCTGCTCCTGCCCCATAGCTCCTCCAGTTCCACTCCCGAATCCTGCCCCACGGCCACTTCCTGCCCTTCCACCCACTGCTCAGCCAGTACACCCTGCTCCTGCCCCACAGCCTCTCTGATTCTGCTTCTGCCCCACAGCTCCTCCGATTCCACTCCCGAATCCTGCCCCACAGCCCCAGCATCTCCATGCACCGCATGGCCAGTACACCCTGCTTCTGCCCCACAACCTCTCTGATTCTGCTCCTGCCCCATAGCTCCTCCAGTTCCACTCCCGAATCCTGCCCCACGGCCACTTCCTGCCCTTCCACCCACTGCTCAGCCAGTACACCCTGCTCCTGCCCCACAGCCTCTCTGATTCTGCTTCTGCCCCACAGCTCCTCCGATTCCACTCCCGAATCCTGCCCCACAGCCCCAGCATCTCCATGCACCGCATGGCCAGTACACCCTGCTTCTGCCCCACAACCTCTCTGATTCTGCTCCTGCCCCATAGCTCCTCCAGTTCCACTCCCGAATCCTGCCCCACGGCCACTTCCTGCCCTTCCACCCACTGCTCAGCCAGTACACCCTGCTCCTGCCCCACAGCCTCTCTGATTCTGCTTCTGCCCCACAGCTCCTCCGATTCCACTCCCGAATCCTGCCCCACAGCCCCAGCATCTCCATGCACCGCATGGCCAGTACACCCTGCTTCTGCCCCACAACCTCTCTGATTCTGCTCCTGCCCCATAGCTCCTCCAGTTCCACTCCCGAATCCTGCCCCACGGCCACTTCCTGCCCTTCCACCCACTGCTCAGCCAGTACACCCTGCTCCTGCCCCACAGCCTCTCTGATTCTGCTTCTGCCCCACAGCTCCTCCGATTCCACTCCCGAATCCTGCCCCACAGCCCCAGCATCTCCATGCACCGCATGGCCAGTACACCCTGCTTCTGCCCCACAACCTCTCTGATTCTGCTCCTGCCCCATAGCTCCTCCAGTTCCACTCCCGAATCCTGCCCCACGGCCACTTCCTGCCCTTCCACCCACTGCTCAGCCAGTACACCCTGCTCCTGCCCCACAGCCTCTCTGATTCTGCTTCTGCCCCACAGCTCCTCCGATTCCACTCCCGAATCCTGCCCCACAGCCCCAGCAGCCATAAAACAACAAAGGTTTGGCGATCTTAGAGGGGGAATCAAGTCGCTCGGCACGGGGGTCTGTGAGCGGCCCCTGCTAATGCAGCACTGCTGCCGCTAGCGCGGATCTGCCCCAGTGCGCACAGGGCTAGTGAGCACTGGGAATCAAGCCGGGAGAAAACCCCTTTGGCCCAAGAGCTTCCCTCCCTGGTCTGCTGCCCTGCCTCCTGCCCGGGCCTGTTCGAACTCCGGTAAGGAGGCTCTGCACCATAGTGAATGCGAAGGCGGGGCCTCTCCCCACCCGCCGCCCCCGATTACTGGCTGCAAATCCCCGTGCTCGGTAAATCCCCCCGAAAACCAGACAAGGAGGGTTCGGAGCCTTTATTGTCCCGTAAACTATGGCCAGGAAATAATCCCCATTTATCCCCCGCTGGCTCTGCCTCAGCCCCGGCCAGCGCACTGTGCCTTCAGGACCCCCTTCAGGGCAGATGGGCATCCCGCTCCCCCACCATGCCCCCTTCCAGC